CTTAAGATAGTTGCATGGAGGAGTGTCATCAGTGGGATTAATCCAGAACACAAGAGACCGAGATCTGTGGAGATGCTTGAACACCTAGGCCAGCTAGCAAGGCACTTGATGATGATGATGATGATTCTAGAACCACAAGCCAGAAGTGCACATGATGGGAAAAGGGACCAGTCCTTCAAGCTGTGAATAGCATTCACCTCATCATCATCATCATCATGTAGCAGGTTCTTTGCTGAACCTTGCTCTCATCACAGTCTGCATAAAAGCCGATTCCCACCCCCCCCCCCTCCCCTCCCCCAATTTACTGTCTCATGAACTCTGATGCCTAATGTGTCCCTGATATCCTCTGCCCACCTCCATGCTGATCAATTCCTGCTTCTACTTCCAGGAACCATTTCTGTTTTCTCCAAACCATTATCGTATTTAATTAGGCCAAAGTATTTGTGATTTCACGACACAATATCCTCGGGTGAGTTCTTGGGCTCAGTGCCTCCTTAACAAGCATGTCATAAAAGTCAACTAATTATTGGTGTTTCCTTTGAAGTCAAGAGTGCATCAGCCTGACGGGAAAGGAACCAACAATCTGCTTTCAAATAAGCCACATCTGTAAAATGGATCTGCACATAAGACTCACGTTCCGGAACAAGACCAAAGTCCAGAAATCAGTGAATAAGCAGAACTTTCCAGTGAAAGTTCACAGCCAGTGAAGAATGAAAAGAAGATAGGCTAATGTTTACAAGCCTGGTAAAAAAGTAAAGTGAGGTAAAAAAAAAAGTAAGATCCATTTTCACGCCTTTAGGTGCATCGGGCAAATGGGAAGAGCACCATATTTTTACAGACCAATCGGCACTAGGTGGGTAACGTGGTCAGTATTACATTGGCCGTCTTTACTTGCCCAGGACATACATCCTAAAGAACTATTAGGATATGTTTAAAATTATCCAACAGCCATTTAAAAAAAAAAAATTAAATAAAGGCAAACTTTTAGTCTGCTTTACTTGGTCAAAAAAATCAACTGAAGTTGTCTCGGCAGAGCTTAGCCAAATTTTGCAGCCAATGGCCAGATGTTTCCCACCCGCTGGAGTCAACTGATGAAAAAACTTTGATGTAGACATTCAAGTTATAAAGAGAAATCTGCAACTCTTCCAATACCAACAGATCTGGCAGTAGGTGCTCAAGGAAGGAGAGGAATAACCACTACAAAAACCATGAGGGCATTCCTATCAAGAAAGGCCGTGCTGGTGTCACAGGTAGTTGCTTGTCTGCAGATCCGAAAGTCATGGGTTCAGGTTCTGACACAGCCGGATGTTTTTTTTTTTTTTTCCAAATGAAATAGGTACCAGGTAAAGTCCTGGGAAGTAAAGATGGCTGGCATGATGCTGACCAAGGCACACGCCAACTGCCAATTGGTCTATAAAATATATGTCTAGCCCTATATGCCCAATAAGCCTGTAGGCCAGGAAATGGGTTCTTTTATTCCTATCAAGAAAGACCACATAAACAGTAACAGTTGTAAATATTTTTGGCTAAATATTCTTGAATCAGATGTAAATAAAGGTGGACATTGTGCTGTGTTCAGATTTATTGTGTTATGTACTTCACATAACTTGCATTAGCTGGGGGGGGGGGGGGGGGGGGGGGTAGGAACTGCATGGTCTCGAGGCATGGTGGACTTGGGCTTCTAGTAATTCTCCCTGGTCTCTGGGTATTGAGATCGGACTCATGTGTGCACTGTTGCGCTCATAAAAAATCCCTTGGCAGTTGGAAATCGAAAAGAGTAGCCTAACGGCGCTGCCCGAGCCAAATTTGGTGTTTAAAATCTACCCAAAGTATTTCAGGATCCTCACCGGTGCTACAGAGCCTGTGCTCTGGGCTGAGCTTCTTTGGACTCAGACTTGAGTTAAAAGAAGAACGGAGCACTTATGGGTTACTACCCATGTACCATGATGTTGATTCATTGTTCAAAACCTCAAACCCCATTAGCTGGGACTAAAACTCAATGTCAACTGGTAAACCAGATGCAAATTTATAAGGAAAACACAAAGAGATAAATAACTAGATGGCATGACTATATTGCATGAGCCAGACATTAGCACAGACCTCATCTGAGACTCTAGTGATCATCTGAAACTGTGAACCACAACTGATAAAATTTATCAACATAGCTCATAATGAATAAATGATATGATATTAATGTATTTTCAAATACAGAACTGTATACATTAAACTTCAGTAAAAAGTTACTGTAAAGGATTTCATTATCTTAATGTGAAGGATTTCATTATCTTAATGTGAAGGCTTTAATTATCTTAATGTGAAAGATTTCATTATCTTAATGTAAAGGATTTCATTATCTTAATGTGAAGGATTTCATTATCTTAATGTAAAGGATTTTATCATCCTAATGTAAAGGATTTCATTATCTTAATGTGAAGGATTTCATTATCTTAATGTAAAGGATTTCATTATCTTAATGTGAAGGATTTCATTATCTTAAAGTGAAAGATTTCATTATCTTAATGTAAAGGATTTCATTATCTTAATGTGAAGGATTTCATTATCTTAAAGTAAAGGATTTCATTATCTTAATGTGAAGGATTTCATTATCTTAATGTGAAATATTTCATTATCATAATGTAAAGGATTTCATTATCTTAATGTGAAGGATTTCATTATCTTAATGTGAAAGATTTCATTATCCTAATGTAAAGGATTTCATTATCCTAATGTGAAGGATTTCATTATCTTAATGTAAAGGATTTCATTATCTTAATGTGAAGGATTTCATTATCTTAATGTGAAAGATTTCATTATCTTAATGTGGAGGATTTCATTATCACAGACATTAATTATGAAAAACTCCCAGGAAAAAAAAAAAAACCTGAAAACTGCCAACAATATGATGCTACACACCTGGAAATGTAAAAAGCACACACCTTATCAATTATGAATCACGGTGTGATATGCCAAAGTATTTGATCCTACAACAATCAACTATTATGCCAAGAAACAACAAGTTATAATTACAACGTTTTATAATTATTATTTGTCCCAGAAGCAACAATTTGCCAATCAACTTTAATTAAAAGCTGCGTGTCCTTTACAACCAAGATCAAAATATATAAAACGATAAGGCCAGTCATCTTATATGGCTCTGAAACTTGGAGCACAACTAAAAGAAATGAAGCCTTATTACAGGTTTTAGAAAACAGTCCTGTAATGAATCTTTGGATCCGTCAAAGATGCAAACAGTGGGGAATGGAGAGTGAGAAACAACAACAAAATTCATAATCTGTTTAAATCACTACTGCTCACTGGCATCATGAGAGCTAATAGCTAGGAGATTTTCTAGGGGATTTCCCAGGACACTCCTATAGACTAGGGGTGTCATGTGTTCCTTGTTTTGAACGTTTTAAGCACATCCACCACCGATGACAGCCAACGCCAATGAGTGCAAAAATAAAAAAACGTCAATGATTCGATACTCACGTACCGTCGCACATTCGGTGCTTTCCCCTGGAGTACTTCTTCCTTGCACACAGGCGCCTTCGACCCTTGAGACCTACTCACAACAATAAAACATTCCAGAAACAACAGACAGTCCCAGAAAAACTGCAAAACAAAAGCTGCACATTTTCGTCTTGGAGACAGTGTGTCAACCTTTTGTCGAATGAACCTGAGCCACTTTTTTGGCACGCTGTTTATAGACGCTGAAGGAAGACATCTTATAACACCCCTAGAACATAGGACAGCCCTTGGGAACAGCTATAAAATCTTGCGTCTGATGAGGGTGACTTTTGAGAATAGTACCAAAACTGGTGTCCTGTGTGCAGAGTGGCTTGCATCACTTGATAAGACCCAGATCAAGAACGTATCATGTATTTTTTGTCCAGGAGATTCAAGTGTGTGCGGTAATGAGCAGGCTGATAGATCAGCTGCTGCCGCTCCTCTGGGCAGTGAGCTACTATATAATAAAGTGGATGTGGTGAAGGCTCTATGGGATCAAATGGATACTGCAAAAGAACAGATAGGGAATCCATACACTGAAAGACTAATTTAAGACTGAATGATGAGGCCCAGATACCACACAGATTTTCTTCTGGCATTTAAGGCATTTCAACTGCTTCAATTATCACAAGAGAGTGCAATGGTATGGTTTACGCACATTATATTAATAACTGAAGGAAGAGATTCATAATAAACCAGATCTAGACATTCACATGCTAGACAATTTTTGACATATATAATTATTGGATCAATTATTTTTGCCATTAATGGATCTCTTATCTATGAATGAGTGGATCATTTAACTGTGTAATCAGTGGATTATTTACTTATATAATCAGTGGATCATTTGATCTGTGTATTCAGTGGAACACTTAGATATGTGATCAGTGGATCATTTTATTGGTGCATTCAGTGGACAGTTGTATCTATGTATTTATTGGATCATATATCCATGTAATAATTGGATTACTTAACTATTATCAGTGGATCATTTATGTATGTAATCAGTGGATCACCTAATTATGCAAACAGTGAACCACTTAACTATATAATCAGTGAATCCTTTAATTATATAATCCGTTAATCACTTAACTATATAATCAGTGAACCACTCAACTATGTAATCAGTGAATCACTTAACTATATAATCAGTGAACCACTTAACTATATAATCAGTGGATCACTTAACTATTTAATCCGTGAACCACTTAACTAATCAGTGAACCACTCAACTATGCAATCAGTTAATCACTAAACTATAAAATCAGTAAATCACTTAACTATATAATCAGTGAATCACTTAACTATATAATCAGTGAACCACTCAACTATGTAATCAGTGAATCACTTAACTATATAATCAGTGAACCACTTTATATAATCAGTGAACCACTCAACTATGCAATCAGTTAATCAATAAACTATAAAATCAGTAAATCACTTAACTATGTAATCATTGAATCACTTAACTATTTAATCAGTGGATCAGATATCTATGTAATCAGTGGATCACTGATGTAGATGTAAAATGGCTGCTTGAGGAAATTACTGGGTCGGATGAGTTCCCGCTCCGTCTGGCTCAGCATTCTCGGCGGTGGCGGGCGAGGTGCAGGGACAGCCGATGATCTTTTGATGTGTCCTTTGTTCCTATGAGACAGTATCACAGGTAGTTACTTCAGAAATGTCACATTTAACTGACATTCTGGACAATAATATTAATATTGTAAGAGCTGATGACAGCTGTATTTTAATTGTTACATAGATAATCCACTATAAATTCTCATCAAGCGCAAGTGAAGGAGCTTTCTTGCTGAAAGTGCATGATTTTTACATACTTATCAATATCACTGATAGAACCAAGTGACTGTGAATCTACAACTCATGAAGTCAGTGGATCATTTTATCTATGTATTCAGTGGAACACTTCAGTATGTAATCAGCGGATAATTTTATCGATGCAGTCAGTGAATAATTTTATCTTTGTATTTAGTGGATCATTTTATCTATGTGCTCATTGAATCAGTTAACAATATAATTAGTGGATTATTTATCTATGTCTATGTCGCCTCTAGCAACTGCCATATGTATTTACTGCACTCGCATATTTCTGGATTGTACCAGGACTAATTGTTTGTTCACCAGTTTTTCCAATGGGACAGTAAGAGACATTTCTTTTAATTTTCTATGGCACAGGAACGAAGCAAGTATGGGGTGACCGGACAATAGTGAAGTTGAATCCTCAGCCATGACCAGACCGCAAAAACAGCAAGTTAAAAGTGGTGTGGCTAGAACACTCTGAAGGAAGCCAAAGAAGAATCAGAAACACATACCTGGTGTCGTCTACAGGTAAATGCTGCAGGATTGACTGGAGAGGGGATCCAAGCACTTATGGACTTGAAGGTTTCATGTGCAGTGAGGATAATTTGTTGACTAACTAACATCATCCTTATGAAAATGACCCTATGAAGAATGCTGATTTCATTATGGCTTGCTAGAAAGACTCTCAATCGTTCACCAGTTTTCCTGCCCCTTGTGCTTTTACGCTTTGAGTGTTCTTCAAGTTCTGTGTTCACCTTTGTGGTAGTCATCCATGTACTTTTCTCAGGGGATCATGCTTTCAAAAACTGTGCTTTCTAAATCACACTACTGTGGAAATATTGTTTGTCTTCCCCTGCAGTTCCTTAACGTCCTTCCGCTTGTCTTTTCCTGCGCTTCCTCAGTGTCCTTTGGCTTGTGTCCCCTAGATGCTCCTCAATGTCCATGACTTGTCTTCCCCTACAGCACCTCAATGTCCATGACTTGTCTTCCCCTACAGCACCTCAATGTCCATGACTTGTCTTCCCCTACAGCACCTAAATGTCCATGACTTGTCTTCCCCTACAGCACCTCAATGTCCATGACTTGTCTTCCCCTACAGCACCTCAATGTCCTTCGGCTTGTCTTTCTGTTCAGTTCCTCAATGTCCTTTGGCTTGTCTTTCTGTTCAGTTCCTCAATGTCCATGACCTGTCTTCACATACAACTCCTCAATGTCCATGACCTGACTTCACATACAATTCCTCAATGTCCATGACCTGTCTTCACATACAACTCCTCAATGTCCATGACCTGTCTTCACATACAACTCCTCAATGTCCATGACCTGTCTTCACATACAACTCCTCAATGTCCATGACCTGTCTTCACATACAATTCCTCAATGTCCATGACCTGTCTTCACATACAATTCCTCAATGTCCATGACCTGTCTTCACATACAATTCCTCAATGTCCATGACCTGTCTTCACATACAATTCCTCAATGTCCATGACCTGTCTTCACATACAATTCCTCAATGTCCATGACCTGTCTTCACATACAATTCCTCAATGTCCATGACCTGTCTTCACATACAATTCTTCAATGTCCATGACCTGTCTTCACATACAACTCAATGTCCATGACCTGTCTTCACATACAACTCCTCAATGTCCATGACCTGTCTTCACATACAATTCCTCAATGTCCATGTCCTGTCTCCACATACAATTCCTCAATGTCCATGACCTGTCTTAACATAAAGCTACTTTTTTTCCATAGCCAGTCTACCTATGCAGTTTCTTAATGTCCTTGGCCAGTTTTCCCAGCTCCTAAATGTTCTCAGCCTGTCATCCCAGCTCTTCAGTGGCATGCCTTCCCACACAGCTGATCAAGAGTATACAACAAAAAAAAAACACTAAAAACTTGACTGACTAGAGGTGAGTTGGGCATGCAACCATGAAATCCATTGGGGAGTAGCCGTGGCGGAGCGGCTAGATGCTCGTCGTGGATCGGAAGGTCGTGGGTTCGCTCCCTGGCTGAGATGGACTTTTTTCAAAAATGACCTTGGCTCCCAGGTCGACCCAGCCTTGAGTGGTACCAGGTGCAGTCCCAGGAAGTAAAGGCGGGCGGCGTGATGCTGACCACATCACCCATCTTGTGCGGATTGGTCTATAAAAAATATAGGTCTAGCCCTATATGCCCTACACGCCTAAAGGCGTGGAAAAGGGTTCTTTACTTACTTTTTTTTTTTAATATATGAAATCCATTGCATGTTACCATCATAGGTGGAAGGAGATCAATCAGTCAACTGCAACTGGTGACCCAATGACATGCAGTGTTACAGGACAATGATGATGATGATGCCATCAGGGTTAGAAACAGAAATGCTGGAGTTCTACTGTAACCAACATTCACTCTGGAGATGGCACCTGACTGACTGACTGATTTAACTCTCCCTATCTGCCAGCTCACCTCAGATTAACAGCCTCATCAGAGTCAGCTGATACGGTTGGACCCAGGTCTCCAAACGAGTAAGATTTGGATGCGAAGCTTCTTCTGCGTTCCTCTGCCGACTGAAATAGGACAGGTGTGGCAAGAGAGGCTGTGCTGCCACTTCTGCCCCTCCACAGTTCCTCCGAGGCAGAGAGGTGGTCATCTGCGGACTGGAATGAGATGCTTGTGTCTCCACTGGAAGTGGAGTGACTCTCTCTGTCGTCAGGCACAGGGGACAGCTGAGTGTCCAGCAGAGAGTAGCGAAGGTTCACCTTCATCAGCTCACTCAACTGTGTCATGGTAGGAACAGAGAAACAACAGAGCAATAGAAATAATTTCATGTAAGATCCAACTGTAGTGCCCTGACATGCAAATATGTTCATTTTATTTGTAAGTGCCCTTCTTCTTCATTGCTAGAGTGTTGCTTAGAGGCATAACTTTCCTCATTACTGCTAGAGTGTTGCTTAGAGGCATAACTTTCCTTATTACTGCTAGAGTGTTGCTTAGAGGCATAACTTTCCTCATTACTGCTAGAGTGTTGCTTAGAGGCATAACCTTCCTCATTACTGCTAGAGTGTTGCTTAGAGGCATAACCTTCCTCATCACTTCTAGAGTGTTGCTTAGAGGCATAACCTTCCTCATCACTTCTAGAGTGTTGCTTAGAGGCATAACCTTCCTCATCACTTCTAGAGTGTTGCTTAGAGGCATAACCTTCCTCATCACTGCTAGAGTGTTGCTTAGAGGCATAACCTTCCTCATCACTTCTAGAGTGTTGCTTAGAGGCATAACCTTCCTCATCACTTCTAGAGTGTTGCTTAGAGGCATAACCTTCCTAATCACTTCTAGAGTGTTGCTTAGAGGCATAACCTTCCTCATCACTTCTAGAGTGTTGCTTAGAGGCATAACCTTCCTCATCACTGCTAGAGTGTTGCTTAGAGGCATAACCTTCCTCATCACTTCTAGAGTGTTGCTTAGAGGCATAACCTTCCTCATCACTTCTAGAGTATTGCTTAGAGGCATAACCTTCCTCATCACTGCTAGAGTGTTGCTTAGAGGCATAACCTTCCTCATTACTGCTAAAGTGTTGCTTAGAGGCATAACCTTCCTCATTACTGCTAGAGTGTTGCTTAGAGGCATAACCTTCCTCATCACTGCTAGAGTGTTGCTTAGAGGCATAACCTTCCTCATTACTGCTAGAGTGTTGCTTAGAGGCATAACCTTCCTCATTACTGCTAGAGTGTTGCTTAGAGGCATAACCTTCCTCATTACTGCTAGAGTGTTGCTTAGAGGCATAACCTTCCTCATTACTGCTAGAGTGTTGCTTAGAGGCATAACCTTCCTCATCACTTCTAGAGTGTTGCTTAGAGGCATAACCTTCCTCATTACTGCTAGAGTGTTGCTTAGAGGCATAACCTTCGTCATCACGGCTAGAGTGTTGCTTAGAGGCATAACCTTCTTCTTCATTGCTAGAGTGTTGTTTAGAGGTATAACTTTCCTCTTCACTGCTAGAGTATTGATTTAACGCATAACCTTCCTCATCACTGCTAGTGTTGCTTAGAGGCATAACCTTCCTCTTCATTGCTACAGTGTTGTTTAAAGGCATAACCTTCCTCATCACTGCTAGAGTGTTGCTTAGAGGTGTAACCTTTCTTTTCACTGTCAGTGTTGTTTAAAGGCACAGCCTTCCTCATCATTGCCAGAGTGTTGCTTAGAGGCATAACCTTCCTCTTCACTGCCAGTGTTGCTTAAGGGCATAACCTTCCTCATCACTGCTAGAGTGTTGCTTAGAGGCATAACCTTCCTCATTACTGCTAGAGTGTTGCTTAGAGGCATAACCTTCCTCATTACTGCTAGAGTGTTGCTTAGAGGCATAACCTTCCTCATTACTGCTAGAGTGTTGCTTAGAGGCATAACCTTCCTCTTCACTGCTAGAGTGTTGTTTAAAGGCATAACCTTCCTCTTCACTGCTAGAGTGTTGTTTAAAGGCACAACCTTCCTCTTCACTGCTAGAGTGTTGTTTAAAGGCACAACCTTCCTCTTCACTGCTAGAGTGTTGTTTAAAGGCACAACCTTCCTCTTCACTGCTAGAGTGTTGTTTAAAGGCACAACCTTCCTCTTCACTGCTAGAGTGTTGTTTAAAGGCACAACCTTCCTCTTCACTGCTAGAGTGTTGTTTAAAGGCATAACCTTCCTCTTCACTGCTAGAGTGTTGTTTAAAGGCACAACCTTCCTCTTCACTGCTAGAGTGTTGTTTAAAGGCACAACCTTCCTCTTCACTGCTAGAGTGTTGTTTAAAGGCACAACCTTCCTCTTCACTGCTAGAGTGTTGTTTAAAGGCATAACCTTCTTCTTCACTGCCAGTGTTGTTTAAAGGTATAACCTTCCTCTTCACTTTCTAGTGTTGTGACCTTATACTTCACTGCTTGAGTGTTGTTTAAAAGCTTGACCTTATTCTTCGCTGCTAGAGTGTTGTTTAAAGACATAACCTTCCTCTTCACTGCTAGAGTGTTGTTTAACTGCCATTCTCTCTGTTGTCTGCCATCCTCTCCATATTGCAGTCAATTAGCCCTCATGACGCCTGCAACTAATGGCAATTTAAGGCAGATTATTAATTTCCAATGTTTTCCAATCTACCATAATCACATTTGTTCTCCATTCTAACAGACCTTATTTGTTTTCCTTCTCACCTAAACTCGTCAAGTTTCAAACATACCTCATAGAGTCCCGGCTTGTGAATGAGAAAGCCAACTCTGACAGGCACACTGGAACCCCGAGGACAGGAACTATGAGGGGGAAAAAAGAACTCAGTAAATCTGAGAAAACATTAGATACATGGAAAGGTCAAGAATATTTAATGTTACTGAAGCAATATACAGGGTGTCCCATACGTTTTCACACACAGGACAAATAAACACATCACCAACGCCATTACAAGCATCACTCCAGCTGTGCTTATATGTGTTCTCCAGCTAGCGCATATTATATACATAAAAATTGTTTTCAAAACAAGCACAGTCAGGTAGCACATATTACATACTAAAAATTGGTTTTCAAAACAAATGAAGTCACAGTCAGCTAGCGCATATTATATACATAAAAATTGGTTTTCAAAACAAACACAGTCAGCTAGCGCATATTATATACATAAAAATAGGTTTTCAAAACAAATGCAGTCACATTCAGCTAGCGCATATTATATACATAAAAATTGGTTTTCAAAACAAACACAGTTAGCTAGCGCATATTATATACATAAAAATGGTTTTTAAAACAAACACAGTCAGCTAGCGCATATTATATACATAAAAATTGGTTTTCAAAACAAATGCAGTCACAGTCAGGTAGCGCATATTATATAATAAAAATTGTTTTCAAAACAAACACAGTCAGCTAGTGCATATTATATACATAAAAATTGGTTTTCAAAACAAACACAGTCAGCTAGCGCATATTATATAATAAAAATTGTTTTCAAAACAAACACAGTCAACTAGTGCATATTATATACATAAAAATTGGTTTTCAAAACAAATACAGTCAGCTAGCGCATATTATATACATAAAAATTGGTTTTCAAAACAAATGCAGTCACAGTCAGGTAGCGCATTTTATATAATAAAAATTGTTTTCAAAACAAACACAGTCAGCTAGTGCATATTATATACATAAAAATGGTTTTTAAAACAAACACAGTCAGGTAGCGCATATTATACACATAAAAATGGTTTTTAAAACTAATGCAGTCACAGTCAGGTAGCGCATATTATATAATAAAAATTGTTTTCAAAACAAAAACAGTCAGCTATTGCATATTATATACATAAAAATGGTTTTTAAAACAAATGCAGTCATGTAGCACATATAATACACATACAAACGTTTTTCAAAACAAAATGTTTTTATTTTTCTATGTATGGAAACTTATGAGACACCCTGAAGATCAGGTCAAATGCCATCTTCTCAAGAATGGTCAGCTGCAAAGTTGCTATCTTCTCAAGAATGGTCAGCTGCAAAGTTGCTATCTTCTCAAGAATGGTCAGCTGCAAAGTTGCTATCTTCTCAAGAATGGTCAGCTGCAAAGTTGCTATCTTCTCAAGAATGGTCAGCTGCAAAGTTGCCATCTTCTCAAGAATAGTCAGCTGCAAAGTTGCTATCTTCTCAAGAATGGTCAGCTGCAAAGTTGCTATCTTCTCAAGAATGGTCAGCTGCAAAGTTGCTATCTTCTCAAGAATGGTCAGCTGCAAAGTTGCCATCTTCTCAAGAATGGTCAGCTGCAAAGTTGCTATCTTCTCAAGAATGGTCAGCTGCAAAGTTGCCATCTTCTCAAGAATGGTCAGCTGCAAAGTTGCCATCTTCTCAAGAATGGTCAGCTGCAAAGTTGCTATCTTCTCAAGAATGGTCAGCTGCAAAGTTGCTATCTTCTCAAGAATGGTCAGCTGCAAAGTTGCCATCTTCTCAAGAATGGTCAGCTGCAAAGTTGCTATCTTCTCAAGAATGGTCAGCTGCAAAGTTGCCATCTTCTCAAGAATGGTCAGCTGCAAAGTTGCTATCTTCTCAAGAATGGTCAGCTGCAAAGTACTTTGACCATTCCTGGTCTCTGGCAATGATGAAGGCCATGACAGAACATGGTCTAATCATTTTTTTATAGGATCGTCTCCTGATATTATTCAATCATTTATGATCCTGTTGTGTCACTGAAATATCATATACAGGTTATCGTTGATTCCTCCACCTCATTCTATCCTGTGCATTTAAAAAAATATTATTTTTAGTCTTTTTCTTCAAGTTCACTGGCTGTAAAATTCTGGTTGTTAGTCCACTTCTGGATTTTGGTCTTACCTCTTCTTCTCCTTCTTCGAGTTTCCTGGCCGCAGACAGCTCTTTTTATTTGTCCACTTCTGAACTTTAGTCTTGTTCCAGAATTTGAGTTTGTGAGCAAATCCACTTTACAGATCTGGCGTATCTGTATGCAGACTGTTGGTTCCTCACCTCTCAGGCAGATGCCCTTCGACTATGAAGGAGAGACTTCTAATTAGGGTTGTTGGTCTACCACCCCTGACTCCCCAAAATGGTGCCCCAGAAACCCACAAGGGGAAATCAAATGTTCACATCTACACTGATGCACAATGCTACAATTGACCAGAGTTCCAATCATCACCCTATTATCAAGAAAGTCTTAATGCATGGGTCTGCTAGTCCCAATAGCATAAGCAGCTCATGCTAATATGTGTATGTCAAATGACTTACCATAAATAAACTATTCTTGCCAGTGGTTGTTGTAGGGGCAGAGTACTCTCGTTTGCCCAGGGACTCATAATAATATTAAAACAGCTCTTGTGGAAAGTAAAAGCAGCTGACAATATACTGACCATATCCACAGAGTACCAACTGCTCTTAACAAACATAGGGCAAGCACCACATGTCCAAGTTACATCAAGCGGTGGAATTGGGTCCTTTACTTCCCTGTGTAGCTTCCATTTGGAGAGGGGGGTGGGAGTGAGGATGAAAAGGTTGGGGGGGGGGGGGGGGGGGGGGGGGAATGGGGGGGGGGGGGGGGGGGGGAATAGTAAAAAGACCCACTTCCCTAAACAAAAAGTTAGTTGCATATCTTTTACAGGAAATTGCAGAACCAGCATTTTTTGGCTTTTGTGGTTTTTCTAGGCAAATTTACATCCAGTAGTTTGCCATTACTTTCTGGACAGTCGGCTTCTCGATACCACTGGTGAAACCAATGAAGAGCTGGCAGCTGGGATCGAACCCACATTACGAAGCGTGTTCGCAATGCCTAAACCACAGACGCATGTCATAAAAGGCGACAAAGGGTCACTGAAATTGGATGTGTTGGGACTAAATGTGCAAATATCACAGCCTAGCTGTAAACCATAACATAACATACCAACCAACCAAGAAGAAGGAAAAAGAACAAGAACAAAAGGAAGAGGAGAAGGAGAAAGAGAAGGAGGAGGGGAGGAGAAAGAGAAAGGAAGAAGAAGAAGAGGAATAAGAAGAGCAAGAAGAATACAAAGAAGAGGAAGATAAAAGAAGAATCTCCTTGCGTTTTCTTTTCTTACCCTATGGCAGTATCTGGATCATGGCAAACAACGGAATCTCTCAGATGCTGGATACGACTAACCTCTTCCTCTGAGCCCCCTAAAGCAAGAGCACTGAGATTCTTTAGTGACAGGTCGAATAATACATAGGTATTTGTGTCACAGGTCGAATAATACATAGGTATTTGTGTCACAGGTCAAATAATACATACATATTTGTGTCACAGGTCAAATAATACATAGTATTTGTGTCACAGGTCAAATAATACATAGTATTTGTGTCACAGGTCAAATAATACATAGTATTTGTGTCACTGATCAAATAAAAACAGTTTTTAAAAAGGACCTTTTTTCCATGCCTTTTCAGGCGAATTAGGCATACAGGGCCAGATCTATATTTTATAGACCAATCATCACTCTGTGGGTGATGTGGTCAACATGATGCCGGCCACCTTTATTTCCCAGGACTTTACCTGGTACCAGTTTAAGGTTGGAACAACCTGGGAGCCAAGGTCATTTCTGGAAAAAGTTTGGCTCCTTCAAGACCTGAAGCCTTCAGATCCGCAGGGGAATGTTTAGCAACTACACCACGGCAGCTTCCATCACAAATCAAACAGCTTGTAGTCAAAAATGTTACATAAGTGTCTATATCATCATCATGTAGCAGGTCCTTTGCAGAACGTCGCTCTCATCACAGTCTGCCTGAAAGAAACTCGGTCTCTCGCCAGTTCTCCCGCCTCATGCACTTTCACACTCAAGGAGCCACTTATATCCTGTGCCCATCTTTGTGTCGGTCAGCCCCTGCCCCTCCTTCCTGGTACCATGCCTTCTGCTATAATTCTTTCCAAAAGTGTCTATATATTAACATAAAATATTAGCGCTGTAATGAGTAAAGTGATAATGATAAATACTACAAATCACAAACTTGGGATATAACTGGGGGCAGTAAAGCAGATCCTCACGCCTTCTGTCACAGGCCTCTAAAAATTGCAGTTAACAATTTTATTTTTAAAAGGTGGTGAAGTAAATGAAGCGGAGCAATCAAAACAGCAATGGTGTTGACAGTTTGATAAGTACATTCCCTTAGACTTTAAAAAAAATTATAGAGTGACCACACATAAGCCCCCCTCACCCACCCAATTGCTAAGCAACAAGGAAAGGCCAAAGGTGAATTGTGACCTTATAATTATTTTTAAAAAGCATGTTTTCTTTTCATAACAGCAGCACCCAAAGTGCCAAGTAATCAAATTATGTTCTCCTAAAGACTGTGCAGGTGCAATAAGAAACAATGCCATTGACTCGGCCAAGCAGAGACTGGCCAAAGACCTAAAGCCTATATGTGGGTTTCATGGCGATGTTCTACGGATGGCAAAGAAGAAATATCAGCATCCTGGGGTGAAAGAAGCAACTATTTTGGTACCAATCTGTGATTACTTTAACCTTTTATATTCTAGGGGGCTGCGTGGTCTCGAGGCATGGTGTCCACCTTGAGTGCTAGAGGTTCTGGGTTCAATTCCCGGTAAGGGCTGGGATTTTTCACCGGGACTCGGACTTCTGTTAATTCCCACTGGTCTCTGGGTAGCGAGATTGGACGCCCTCGTACATTGTTGCGCACGTAAAAAATCCCTTAGCAGTTGGAAATTAAAAAGAGTAGCCTAACAGCGCTGCCCTGGTAAAATTTGGAGATTAAAAATGTCCCCAAAGTATTTCAGGATCCTCGCTGGTGCTACAGAGCCTGTGCACTGTGCTGAGCTTATGCGGACTCAGACTTAAGTTAGAAGAAGAACGGAGCACTTATGGGTTACTACCCGTGTGCCATGATGATGATCCGTTGTTCAAAACCTTAAAACTTTTTCTATCCTGAGAAGTTCTATTTAAAAGTAAGTAAAATAATAAAAATATAGGCCAGAAGGAGTTAAAAATAGCGATTTGGATGAAATAAGTGATTGTAGCAGAAGAAAGTCAGAAATATGTCATGTCTTCGGATAACTTAATGAACGCAGGATGAGTTGAACAGTACCAAAAAAGAATGAGGATCTTCACTACCTCTCAATGGTCCTCTGATGCATCAGCCACCCCAAGGCACCTCACAGTAGCCACCGAGGGCTACTTCACAGCAGCCACCCCAAGGTACCTCACAGCAGCCACTACAAGGTACCTCACAGCAGCCACCCCGAGGTACCTCATAGCAGCCACCCTGAGGTACCTCACAGCAGCCACCCCGAGGTACCTCACAGCAGCCACCCCGAGGTACCTCACAGCAGCCACCCCGAGGTACCTCACAGCAGCCACCCAGAGGTACCTCACAGCAGCCACCCCGAGGTACCTCACAGCAGCCACCCCGAGGTACCTCACAGCAGCCACCCCGAAGCACCTCACAGCAGCCACCCGAGGTACTTTACAGCAGACACCCGAGGTACTTTACAGCAGCCACCTTGAGGTACTTTACAGCAGCCACCCGAGGTACTTTACAGCAGACACTCTGTGGTACTTTACAGCAACCACCCGAGGTACTTTACAGCAGCCACCCGAGGTACTTAACAGCAGCCACCCGAGGTACTTTACAGCAGCCACCCGAGGTACTTTACAGCAGCCACCCGAGGTACCTCACAGCAGCCACCCCGAGGTACCTCACAGCAGCCACCCAGAGGTACCTCACAGCAGCCACCCCGAGGTACTTTACAGCAGACACTATGTGGTACTTTACAGCAGCCACCCGAGGTACCTCACAGCAGCCACCCGAGGTACTTTACAGCAGACACTCTGTGGTACTTTACAGCAGACACCCTGTGGTACTTTACAGCAGCCACCCCGAGGTACTTCACAGCAGCCACCAGAGGTACCTCACAGCAGCCACCCGAGGTACTTTACAGCAGCCACTCGAGGTACTTTACAGCAGCCACCCGAAGTATTTTACAGCAGCCACCCGAGGTACTTTACAGCAGCTACCCTGAGGTACTTCACAGCAGCCACCCCGAGGTACCTCACAGCAGCCACCCCGAGGTACCTCACAGCAGCCACCCTGAGGTACCTCACAGCAGCCACCCCGAGGTACCTCACAGCAGCCACCCCGAGGTACTTCACAGCAGCCACCCCGAGGTACTTCACAGCAGCCACCCCGAGGTACTTCACAGCAGCCACCCCGAGGTACTTCACAGCAGTCACCCCGAGGTACTTCACAGCAGCCACCCCGAGGTACTTCACAGCAGCCACCCCGAGGTACTTCACAGCAGCCACCCCGAGGTACTTCACAGCAGCCACCCCGAGGTACCTCACAGCAGCCACCCCCAGGTACTTTACAGCAGCCACCCGAGGTACTTTACAGCAGCCACCCTGAGGTACCTCACAGCAGCCACCCTGAGGTACCTCACAGCAGCCACCCCCAGGTACTTTACAGCAGCCACCCGAGGTACTTTACTGCAGACACCCGAGGTACTTTACAGCAGCCACCTTGAGGTACTTTACAGCAGCCACCCGAGGTACTTTACAGCAGACACTCTGTGGTACTTTACAGCAACCACCCGAGGTACTTTACAGCAGCCACCCGAGGTACTTAACAGCAGCCACCCGAGGTACTTTACAGCAGCCACCCGAGGTACTTTACAGCAGCCACCCGAGGTACCTCACAGCAGCCACCCTGAGGTACCTCACAGCAGCCACGGTTCGGCCATCTGCAATTATTGCGGAACCTGAAAGTCTATCAGCTCTTTCATTAGTAAGCATGAGAAAGTAAAGGAGCATTTTCCACGTCTTCAGGTGAAATTAGCATATAAGAGCTAGACCTGTATCATACCAATCGGTATGTGGTGAACATTACGCCGGCCGCCTTCACTTTCCAAACTTTCCCTGGTACCCATTTAAGGGTGGGCTGACCTGGGAGCTATGGTCATGTAAAAAACGTTAAAAAGTCCGGCTCAATCTGGAGCTGAACCTGCGACCTTTGCATCTGCAGTCTAGTTGCTACATCATGTGGGGTCCCTGTTTTATAAGTGCTGGATATAAACCGTCTAGATTGTAATTAGAGTCTCAACCCCATGCTATCAGTCAGTAGGTTTAAAATTCCATTCCTTGTGTGGGTTCTGGGGGGGAGGGGACATTGTAAATGGAATAATAAAAGAATAGACCACCTGCCTTTGGAGATGCATTTAGTAAGAGTCGACTAATTAGGGATGTTTCCTTGGAAGTTTAAGTGCATCAGCCTGACAGGTGAGGAACCAACAGTCTGCATAAAAGTAAGCCAGATCTGTCAAATGGATGTGCACACAAGCCTCAGGTTATGGATCAGGTTATGGAACAAGACTAGAGTTGAAAAGTGCATGAGCAACCAGAACTTTCCGCCCGAGTTTACAGCCCGCGAATGCAAAAGAGAAAGAAGAAAATTGTGTATGTAAAGAAAAGACTGCTACCATGAACACCCAGTACTAAGATAAAATGCTGTCTCACCTTGTTCTGTAAGTGCCCGACACATGTTGTCCAGATTGTAGTAGAGCCTCATGCTCATGAAGTCATACAGTTGGTTTGAGATTGTGTATGTCACAGAAAATCTGTCACAGATATACAAGTAAAACTGAGATTGTGTATGTCACAGAATACCTTACCACAAATAGATGTGAAACTGAGATTGTGTATGTCACAGAATACCTTACCACAAATAGATGTGAAACTGAGATTGTGTATAACACACAGAAAACTCATCACAAAAGTAAAAGTAAAACTGATTGTGTATATCACACATAAACCTCATCACAAAAATAAAACTGAGACCGTGTCTGTAACAAATACCTCATCACAAAAGTACAACTTAGACCGTGTCTGTCACAAAAACCTCATCACAAAAGTAAAAGTAAAACTGAGATTGTGTCTGTCACAGAAAATCTGCACCAAAAGAAAAAGTAAAAAGGGATTGTAAGTGTCCGAAAAAAACTGTCTGAAAGGTAAAAATAAGTAAAACTGTGAGATTATGTAATCATCATAATCATGTAGCAGGTCATTTGTAGAACAGGGCTCTTATCACGTTCTGCCTGAAAAAACTTGGTCTCTCATCAGCTCTCAACCCCTCGCGCACTTACCTACCCAAGGTGGTACTTATATCCTGTAGTACTTATATCCTGTACCTATCTTCTGCTAGGCCTCTCCATCTCTTTCCTGGCACCATGCCTTCTGCTACTATTTTTCCAATCTGCTGTGGCCAAAATATTTCAGTTTCTGAGAGAAGATGCTGTTTACTGGCCAATCTTCCTTCAAGTTGAGATCTTTTAGGATTTTAGTATTAGATGAGATAAGATAGTCTTCGAGTTCTAATCTGCAACAAAGTTGATTTTTACAAAATAACCATGGCTCCCTGACTGACCCCAGCCCAAAATGGGTATCAGGAAACATACAAAACACTGAATGCATTGAATGTTGAATTAAGAATCGATATCACAGCACTTCGGACACTCTCATAAATTCTCAGTCCCCATCTTCAGCAGCAAGCGAAGAGTTCCAATTCCGATGGTAACAGTAACCATCTGATTGTATCTCCTTCGCATCCTTCCCCTGAGTGTTAAGCGTCGGCCAGATCCCCGGTAACTCTCCTTAGACCATAATGATATATCTGCGCCTCTGCACTGTTCACTCGCTCCCAAAGGGCCCTTACCATATCTAGCTTGTCATACATCAATTCCCCACGTGGTGAAGAGCTGGACAATCTATTTGCCTGCTCATGATGAGTATTCCAAGTTAAAACTCAAATCTTCCAGAGGGTTCACAAGCAAAAAAACAAATGTAGCTAGCGCAACGGGTGGAAAGTACCTTGCTACAAGCAGTCTGTACTTCTTTATTATTGTTTAGGTTGTGTCTTTGGGAAGATTGTCCCGTTACTTGCCTTGTGTGATAGAAAGGTGCTGATTCTTTTTAAACTGTATTGTTTGGTTCACAGGTGTAATATTTTTGGAAGATCACTGGGGGGTCATTACAAGAGCTAGAGTGGTAGTTGCACTTTGTGTGACACTCTCCGCATTCAGCTAATCACTGCAGAGAGAGACTGAGCCATATAGGGAAAAAATAGTGCAATGAATTGAACCATCTCACTTTTCAACATTAATTTTTTCCCGTGTGGGTTCTGGGGCCCCATTGTGGAAAATCAGGAATAGATCCACTGCCTGTCCAGAAGCATGTCGTAAGAGTCGACTAATTGGGCGCTTCCTTTGAAGTCGAGTACCTCTGCCTGGGAGGCAAGGAACTAACAGTCTGCATTAAATGAGTCAGACCTGTACAACAGATGTGTGTGCATGCAACACTCAGTTTTTTAAACAGGACTAGAAACCAAAAGTGGACGAACAACCATAGCTTTCCGCCGGAGTTACAGCCGGTGAACGCACACAAAAAAAAAAAAAAAAAAACATTCATTTTTCTCACACAGTATTATTTAACTCTTTGCTTACCTCTAAATATTATGCCATTCTTAACTCTTTGAGTCCCAGAGGCTTTAGCATCACAGGCCCAAGGGGTAGTAAAGAAAGATGTACAATCAGCGTATGATCTGTTCATTGGGCTTCTAGGTAGGAACCTATAAATGTATGCTGTGTTTCTTAGGACTCAAAGAGTTAAGAGAGATAACTGCTTAATTTTCATAGCAAATTTCCAAGCTGTGCATTTAGCTGAAGTAGTAAGTAGGCAAAAGGAATAGCAACTCATTTAGAATACTAACGATTTATTGAGCTCTGTTTCCTCATCACATTTGACAGTCACGATGAAAGGTGGACAGCGAACTTTTATTCTTGGAATCCTGGTTGAGAAATAAATATGCAGATTGTACACATGAAAACACACACACAAATTCAGCTAATGTGACAAAACATATGTAGATTATCCACATGGAAACACACACAAAAAGTTCAGCCTATGTGACAAAACAATTATGAGGGAGAGACAAGAAAATCTTCTAAGCATTTACCAGCTGTAAATTCTGGCAGCCGGAAAGTCCTGGTCGCTTGTCCACTTCTGGACTCTGGTCCTGTTCCAGAACCTGAGCTTTGCATACACGTCCGTTTTACAGATCTGGCTTATTTGTATGCAGACTACTGGTTCCTCATCTCTCAAGCAGATACATTCCAACTTCCAAGAAAACACCCCTAACTAGTCACCCTTCACAGCATGATTGGAAGAGGGGCAGTGGGTCTGTTCTCCCCAAAATGAGACCCCCAGGACCCACGTGAAGAGAAAATTTAAAAAAGTTTTTTAAAAGTTTTGAAAAAAAAAAAAAACTGTTACTGAAAGTGGCACTGCGGTTATGAAATAAACAGCCAGTTCCCAAAAATCCAAACTACTGACTAGACACAGTGACACACATTACAACACAACTGTCTCCCGTGAATTTAAATTCAAATTGCTGTAATCTAACAGCAAAGTTTGAAAATCTTGTATATCCACTTCACAATATCCGCTTGTCGATTTGTAATACGAATACATTCCGAACACAGAACTTTGTAAGCACATCAAAATGTCACACAATGCAACACATGGAAACTGCTTCCACTAACCAATTTTCAAGGGGATCTCGCCAAAATGTCACGTGATTTAGTTGGAAGGACCGTAAATACAGAAGGGTGTGGTTTGTCATAAGGATCTTCACTTCCTTAACCCATGTATTTCCCATTTCAGTATCTATTATACCTGATTTGCCAGCAGACATTAAATTTTCAGTGTTGCCAAATCCTTCCCTTCTTGGTTCTGGGGCCACCACCAATCAACCAGTCAATCAAGCAGACAACCAGTCACCAACCAGTCAATCAATAGCCAATCAATCAATAGCCAATCAATCAGTCAAACAACCAGCCAACAACACAACTATTCACCAACATATCAACTAATCAGCCAGTCATGTGATCAACCAACCGGCCCCCAAAAAACACAACCTCCAACCAATCAATCAATAAGTCAAAAAATCAATCAATCAATTAATCAATCCATCAGACAACCCACCAAACAACCAGCTAATCAACCAAACAATCAACTAACCCATCAACCAACCAGCCAATCAATCTTTTAACCAACCAGCCAATCAATCTTTTAACCAACCAATCAATGAACTCATTAACCAACCAATCAAGCAACCAATTTACCAACTAGTCAACAAAACAACCAACCAATCCACCAATCAAAACACACACTGTTCATTCACTGGCTATGTTGCTACGCAATTATTACAAACAGCAAAACATCAACATTTACAGCAATCTAGAAACTAAAAAAAAAAAAAAAAATAAACATACTTGTAGACTGTTGTAATCTCATTACTGGCTCCTGCATGTGTCCACTTGATGTTGGCTCTCAGGGACAACTCCTAATACAAAAGACAATTTGGCAATAGAGACATAAGTTTTGACTCAATATGACAATAAAGACAGAACTTTCGACTCAATTTGGCAATAAAGACAGAGCTTTCCACTCAATTTGGCTATAAAAACAGAGCTTTCGACTCAATTTTTTTAAATTCCATATCATTGAACCACAGAAGTAAAGTCGCTGTTTGTTTGTTTGTTTTAGTATCCAGAAGCCATGAGTTGTTAACCCTTAGGCTCAGTATTATGGATATCGCAACCTTTCGGCCTTGATTCCATTGTAAATACCGTTAATCTGGGAGAAATGTGGCTTTTCTGCCTACCCCCGGGATTGAACCCTGACCACAAGGAGTTTGTCACCCGGTCTCCGCACAGTCCAGTTTAGCCAACTACGCTAGAGAGCCGGTCAAGTAAAGTGGCTAATAAGTAGAAGTAAAGTAAAGGACCTTTTTCTACACCTGAAGGCGTATTGGGCATACAGAGCTAGGCCTACATTTTATAGATCAATCGGCACTTGGTGAAAGATGTGGTCTGCCTCACACAAGCTGCCTTTGCCTCCCAGAACTGTACCTGGTACCGGCTCAAGGCTGGGTCAATCTGGGAGCCATAGTAGCTAATGTATATAGTATAAACAATATGTTTTGTGTGGGTTCCTGGCCAACATTTAGAGTAAAAAGGAACAGACCATCTACCTCTAAACAAGCATGGGGTAAAAGCTGACTAATAAGAAGTTTGCTTAAATCGTATGTGTTGGGCTGAAAGGTGCAGATATCTCAGCCTAGCTGTAAACCACAACATGACATGAAACAACCCTTTTAAGGGGGAACAAAGAAAAAGAAGAAGTATGAACAAGAAGAGGTTCTGGAGTGGCAGGCAATGACCAGAGAGTTCAAAGAAATAAAAACAAGACCCAAGAAAATGTCAACCACATTCAAAGACCTGACACTCTTACAAAAACTAAACTGGAAGGTTATAGCAGGCAAGCAAGAGGCATACAGTAGTAGAGGTGGGAAGATAGCATCAACAGATGGACCAAAAGCAGTTTCAGACAGTGTAAAACCAAGGTGAGATATAATGTTTGAGATTCAATGTAGCCGACCTTCACTAGGGGGATGGCATCTGATCAATCTACTAACTATAAGCTATCAGTGGCAGTGAGAACCCTCTCTATATGTGGGTTCTGGGACCCCCATGGGAAGCGGGGGGGGGGGGGAATAAAAGACCCACTGCTTCTTAATAAGCATGTCATAAACAGCAACTAATTAAGGCTTTGCTGAAATTTGATAAGTTGGCCTAAAAGGCGCAGTTATCACAGCTTAGCTGTAAAAACCAAAAAAACACTCCAACCATCCTTACAATTGTGAATGCAGAAGAAGAAGAAGAAGAAGAAGAAGAAGAAGAAGAAGAAGAAGAAGAAGAAGAAGAAGAAGAAGAAGAAGAAGAAGAAGAAGAAGAAAGAAGAAGAAGAAGGAGGAGGAGGAGAAGAAGAAGGAGAAGGAGAAGAAGAAGAAGAAAAAGAAGGAGAAGGAGGAGAAGAAGAAGAAGAAGAAGAAGAAGAAGAAGAAGAAGAAGAAGAAGAAGAAGAAGAAGAAGAAGAAGAATGGGGAGGAGAAGAAGAAAGAGGAGATGGAAGAGGAGGAGGAGAAGAGGAGAAGAAGAAGGATGAGAAGGAGGAGGAGAAGAAAAGACGAGGGGGAGGAGAAGAAGGAGAAGAAAAAGAGGAGGAGGAGAAGATGATGAAGAACTGCAGTGAGAAAAGCGTTAAAATGCCACATAGAGCATGTAGTGTTGCATGACTGTAATGAAACGAAGGCATGCTATGAAAACACCTACCGGCTGCAGAGATTTGAATTCTGGAGAGAAGGCAAAGAAGATAATGAATGGAGGGAAAAAATGAGGCAGTCCTGTAAGAAGTAGATGAAGACTGTAAAATAGTAAGAGAAATTTTAAAAAGCAGTCAAGGCTGACACAGATCAGTTTCATCATTGTGTCAGGACACACAGGCGTGCAAGGAAATGAGCACGCTAATAGGCTTGCAGGTAGGTAAAGCTACTGTGCAGGGGAGATGAGCCATGGACCAGGCGAATATTCTAAATACCCTATGACAAGGCATTCATTCAACAAAGTTTACTCAGGGGCCATAATTTTGAAAATGGGGATCTTCAGGGAGCAGGGGTCCGAGCCCCAGTTAGACAGATCATTAATCCAATACAACTAACAATGATCCGTGGCCCACTTTTGGCCTGTGAGCCACCAGCTGAATAGCCCTGCCCTAAGAGAAGTAAGACATTTGCGAGAACCAAGTGATGACTGTGAATCTGCAAGTATGACCAGACTGCAAGAACACTATGTTAAAAGGGATGTATTCAGACAAGAGCAATATGCAGAAAGCCAAAGAAGAATAAGAAACCAATAAAGAAATGGTGTCATCAGAAGCTAAACGCTGCAGGATTTATTAAGCAGGGGATCCTGAGCACTAATACACTGAATGGTTCAATGTGCAATGAGGACAATCTGTCGACTAACTAACTATTATTTTGCACACAATTAAGATTTCTTAATCGATATATCTTTTTTCTTCAGCATCCCGAGCCCTTGAGGTTCATTGCTACAGATATCACCCGCCTCTATTCATCTCTCTGGTTGGCTTTCTCTTTCCAGTTGGTGACACCAAGTGTTTGGACATTATCTCTACATCGTCTCCTTGGTCTGCTTCGTGGTCTACAACCTTTCATCTTTCTTGTGGACACAGTTTTCACTTCTCTGTCATCTGATATTCTCTCAATGTGCCCCAACCATTTCAGTCTATTAGCTCTCATGATGCCAGTGATCAATGGTGATTTAAACAGATTATGAATTTCGTTGTTGCTTCTCACTCTCCTTTCCCGGCTGTTTGCAAATTTGATGAGTCCAAAGATTTGTCGTAAGACTGTTTTCAAAAACCTGTAATAAGGCTTCATCTTTTTAAGTTGTGCTCCAAGTTTCAGAGCCATATAAAACGACTGGTCTTATCAACGTTTTATATATTTTGATTTTGGTGTGTTGTGAGACAGACACTTTGACTTTAGCAGATGTTGAAGGGCATAGTATACTTTATTTCCAGATTGTATTCTAGACTGTATTTCTTCTCTCAGCATGTTGGAGCAGTTGCAGTTTGCATCCAAGTACTTATATGTTTCCATTCCTTTGATTTTCATATTATCGACTTGCATGTGGCCGGAGTTTATATCCTTTCCCTGTCTAGTTATAATCATGTATTTTGTCTTATATTTATTGATAGCTAGTCCAATTTTCTGCATTGATTCTTTTAAGAGAGTCGGTGTTTTAACAGTCTCTAGTTCATTTTCTCCAACAATATCAATGTCATCTGCATATCCAAGTATTCTTGTAGTTTCTCCTATTGTACACACCTGTTTCAATTTCTTTATAATTTTCTCCAGGCCCAAGTTGAAAAGAAGTGGGGACAGAGCATCACTTTGCTTTAAACAAGATGTTATTTGGAAAGGGTCTGACTTTCTGCCTTATATATTACTATATTACGAGTGTCTTTCACACATAGTTTGATCATGGTAATTAACTTCTTTGGTATTCAGCTTGGTTTCAAGGCATGGTGTCCGCCTTGAGTGCTGGGGGTTTCGGGTTAAATCCCCAGTAAGGGCTGGGATTTTTTCACGTGGACTTAGACTTCTAGTAATTCCTCCTGGTCTCTGGGTAGTGAGATCGGACGGCCGTGTGCATTGTTGCGGACATAAAGAATCCCTTGGTAGTTGGAAATCAAAAAGTGTTGCCTAACGGGCTAAATTTAAAGTTAAAAATCTATCAAACGTATTTCAGAGTCTGTGCACTGTGCTGAGATCCTTCGGACTCAGACTTGAGCACTTATGGGTTACTACCCGTGTGCCATGATGTTGGTCTGTTGTTCAAACTTCAAACTTCAGTCCTTCATAATATTCCATAAACTGTTTTTATGTACACTATCATACACCTTTTTAAAATCCACAAAAACATTATGTACATCTCTTTTATATTCCCAGTTTTGCTCTGCTATTTGCTGTAAAATGAAAATCTGATCTATTATTGATCTGTTCTGTTGGAAACCCGCTTGGTAATCTCCCAATATGTCTTCGACGTATGGTTTTAGCCTGTTTAGCAGTACTGCCAATAGTATCTTATAGCTTGCAAAGAATTGTGATGTTGCTCTATAATTTTCACACTTAAACTTGTCTCCTTTCATAAAAATGGGTATTAATAAAAACACTTTCCATTCATGGGGTAATTTCTCCGTCTTCCAAACTAGTTTTATTAATTCATCTATCTTTACATGTAATGCATGACCACCTTTTTTTAGCAGTTCAGCTGCAATTCCATCAGCACCAGTTGCATTATTATTTTGAAGCCATGTTATGACATACAATACTTCTTCAAAATCAGGCTATTCAATATTTAGTTCACATGTCTAAAATCTCTTCCTGTGATTATGTATTAAGTGGAGTTTTACAATTTAACAATTCAGCAAAGTATTCCTTCCATCTGTTACATATTTCTTCATTATTATTTATCATGTTTCCATTACATATTAATTATTATTTATAATTCGATATATAGCAAGACAAATATAAGAACTTCATGACAACTGACAAACTTCGTGAGAAAAGAACTAAAGAAAAAACATACATTATCTAATTAACACGCAAAATTACACAAACATACAACAACAAAACACTGACTACTGGTTGAGATGGAAAATTATGATAATGCAAGGATCCAGGCATGACACAAGTTGATGGTTATGATGGTCAAAAGGCAGATGCACTCACAGAATCAGTCGGCACGGACGACAGGTGCAGCCGATAGATGAGATTCAGTTCCTCACAGCAGCTCAGAATGACAGGAAAGGCATGGCTCCTCCTGGGGCTCTCCAGGTTAATCACTTGATGACAGGTCTCCCACTTCACTGAGCTTCTGCAAGGGAAACAAACACTGCTTGATGTGGGGCTTCAGACTTGTGTAAGTCACATCTTCTGAACTCTTTCACTGCCAGGCAACTGACCAAGCCTTTGTTGGTGTGTATTAACAGGAAACTAGAGTCGCCGTGGTGAAGCGGCTAGACGCTCGCCTGCAGATCGGAAGGTCATGTAGCCGGACTTTTTTCAAAAATGACTATGGTCCCTAGGTCGACCCAGCCATGACTTGGTTCTAGGTGCAGTCCAGGGAAGTAAACGTGGCCAGCCAAGATGCTGACCACATCACCCACCAAGTACAATTTGGTCTATACAATATATGTCTAGCCCTATATGCCTCATATGCCTAAAGGTGTGGAAAGGGGTCCTTTACGTTTATTAACAGGAAATACTGTCCTGACTCCTTGCACCACCTCCAATTGCTATACTGACCCACTCTGCCCCCACTGCCGACCTTCGAAAAAAAGATGTAGTCTGAAGATCCTCTGCCTCACAGCACTATGTTAACTATGTGAAGTGATTTATCGTTAACAAAAACTGGATTACTGTTTGCCTGGTTTATTCTCCCTATCTTTGTCCTTCCTGTATGGATTTTAAGACCTAACTGTTGCTATCTCTCATCAAGTATGTTTGATTTATCTTGCATTTGATTTCATGAGTGCAGTAGGAGGGAAATGTAATCAGCACAGTCCATGTCATCAAGCTGTTTTGTAGAGGTCCTGGGTGACCAGACAGTCAAACATTGCATGATAATGGAGCAAAGCATTAAATACAGTTTATTACTTTATACTGGATTGACAGATTATGAACAGGTCTTTAATAGCATTGAAAGAGAATCTCTCTGTGAATTGACAAGGCACTAAAAGATTCCAAAGAAAATTAAAAAGTGAGTATAGGCAACATATGCAGACATGAAATGTTGAGTACTTCATCAAGGAGAACTAACACTGTGACCAGATGATGATGATGAGAATGTTACTGATGCTGTGAAGAAATAGCAACATGAGCAGAAAAATGCCTGAAACAGTCAATGCAAGCATGCCCTTTGTTTTGAGTTGGCATAGTCACAGAAATAGATAGAGAATACATACAAAACTAGGATTTGTACATTTTGTTAAGTTATAATGAGTTATATTCTGAGTGTATTTTCACTCATTCTGCACAAAAAGTTTGTGAGCGAGAGAGACACACACAGATATTTAAATATATAAACCAAGAGAGAGAGAGAGAGAGAGAAAGAGAGATGAGGGCAGTACTTTCTGAATATTCCTTCTACTTTTACTGTGGAGTGCAGAACAACGTATATGACTTTCTTGCATTTGGCATCATAAGTAGTGTCTTAATTAGCTAGATCAAGACTAAGTGTGATACTAAACATACATCATTAATACTAAAGCCTTGACTACTGGCTTGGTAAGCACTGATATGAATAATATTGATTTATAAAATTAACTTAGGCTCATAGGACAACCCAGCCTAAAATGGATATAGGGAAAAGTTCTGAGAAGTAAAGATGGCCAGCATGACACTGACACCATTCACTGTCTGCTGATTAGTCTATAAGAATACAGTTCTAAACCATATGCCCAATACAGTTCAAGATTTACAACTGAGACCTATACTTGCTTACTTTTACATCATTAGATGGACTGGGAAAAGGATTAAGTTTACAACAAACTGGTGAGTGAAAATTGTAATGTTATTGCTTTCTATAAAAACAAAATAACTTTCTGTCCAATATGGCAGATAGGCTGGCTGACCATTGAAGCTTTGAAGAGTTATATGCTTCTGTCCATGGTTTGCTGACACAATTTCCCCAATTCTAGACTAGGAGTCCAAAGATTCCACCATCTGACTACTGAGCTGAGTGTGTCATGCGACACTGTGAGCTGTGGATTCATGTAGAATATGTTTTCTTCTGTGGTCCTGGCCCATTCAGACCAGCATTTCCAGTACTGCATGCATAATTGCTGGCTTGTCATGACTGACTGCTTCCATTACCAATGAGTTGAAATTCAGGTGGGTGACTTGTTAGTGTCAATACATCTGGTGGCTGCCTTATTATTTGTGTGTGCGAGTTTCTAGCCTTTGCCGAGACACCGCGTGTGATTTTTACTGATACATGAAAGAAGCATTCACGGGGTGACCCATCTGCTATGAAGTCAGAACCTTGACTAGCTAATTATCAGCGTTCTCTAAATTCCTTTTCCAAACTGCATGAAATCTGCCTCTAACAGTGAATTATGGCAGTTAGTGATAAATAACATTTCATACAAATCATATTAATTCCAACTCTACTATATCAGTGCCAGACATGGTCACTCACAATAAGACATGAAAGAAAACTAGTAACCACAGAAATGAGATGTCTGAGATGATGCAGGAGTTATCTGAAGAGACAAAATCAGGAATGAGGTCATAAGATAACAAGTCGGCAGAGAATCAATTTTCAATTACACACAAAGACAGCAAGTCAAATAGTCAGCTTACTCAAAGAGAATGCCTTGTGATGCCCAAACAAGGCATCCACCAAAAGAGGAGAAGGACACAGAGTACAAGGTAGACCAAGAAAAAGATGGAAAGATAATAAAAGCGAAACTCTTCAACAACACAATGTGTCTATGATTGAGGTGGCCAGAAGAGCAAGAGGCAGAACCTTGCCTCGATACCTGAAGAAGTAAAATAGGACATGAAGAAGAGGAAGAAGAATGACTTAATGCACACAAACACAAACAAACAAAAAGAGACTGAAACACATACCCTTCTTCACAGACCAGAATGTCATGAACCGGACTGGAGCTGGACAACATTTGGATATTTTTAATCACCATCTGTGTTTCTGTTTTGTTGCTGACTGTTGAAACGAACAAATTAATAAAAAAATTAAAAAAAAAACAGTGGTGAGCTGAATTGAGCTAAGTTTACCAACATAACACAACTTTGGATACTCCCATTTTGCACTGGATATTCCCACTTTGCACTGGATATTCCCACTTTGCACTGGATATTCCCATTTTGCACTGGATATTCTCATTTTGCACTGGATATTCCCATTTTTCACTGGATATTCCCATTTTGCACTTTGTCCCCCATCTTTGGCAGCCAGCACAAAGTTCTAATTTTTAAGGTAACACGGCAATCTGTTTGTATGTTTGTCTATCTTGCCTCTTCCCTGAGTGCTGAGTGCAGCCGTAGGTCCCTTCCTGCTGCACCGTTCTCTCTGGACCATGATAATCTGTACCTACACACTGTGCACTCACTCCCAAAGGGCCCTGACAACATCCAGCTTGTCATGCATTATTTTACCAGCGGGTCTGCCTGTTCACTTTTCAACACACCTGCATGTCCTGGAAAAAATACCTAAAAAGGATGCGAACTACCTAGGGCCTCTGAAGCGGTGCTTGCCAGTTCACTGATTTCACCTCTGTGTCACACTCTCCCAGAACTGCTACTCTCTGTCTGTGCCCATGTAACTTGTCTGTGCTGTATTGTTTTGCATTACTGATTGAATTGATTTTTTTTGTTTTCTTGTTTGTGATTGTAACACTGTCTATTCATGTAATGTGCTGATGAAAGCTTTCTAGCTACAATGTTCACTTGTCCCTTGTGGTTGTGATATTGTGCTGCTGACTAGCTTTACCTTTGGTTTGGTGTTTGACAACATCTCTACACGGAGCATACTTATCTCCACTTTCTCAACATGCTTTGTCAGTAGAAGCATTGTAGATGGACAGCGTGCATTGTTGTTATGTTCAGTTATATAATATTTTTTCTGTTTTTTAAATTCCCCGCTCTAAGACTGCATTCTGAAAGATTAACACAGAGTGACTCAAAGAGACACCCTTCAGATGAGAAACAAACAGCAGCATGTCTAAGAAGCCTTGCTGATCCATACAGCAGAGTTAGCTTATGGCATCTTGTGGTTACTAAGTAACCTGTTGTCCAATGCAGGTGGGCCTGCAGTGATTTCACTTATAAAGTGGGGAAGAAGAACATCCGATGTAGCAAGACAGGCCAAGTACCAGTACAGCTAGCCCCTCTCTTACATCATAAGACAATCCCAATCAGCACAAACAAACATCTCATACAAAGCATATTCATTCCCACCCTATGCTATCAGTGCCAGACGTGGTCACTCACAACAACAACATAAAAGAAAATTAGTAACCATGGAAATAAGGTGTCTGAGAAAGATTGTAGGAGTGACCAGAAAAGATAAAATCAGGAATTAGGTCACACGAGATAAACTCGGCACAGAACCGATTCTAAATTACATACAAAGACAGCAAATCAAATGGTTTGCCCACTTGGAGAGAATACTATCTGATGCTACACCATACAAGGCATATACCAAAAGAGGAGAAGGACACAGAGCAAGAGGTAAACCAAGAACAAGATGGGAAGATAACATCAGAGACACTCTACAGTACCATGATGTGTCTGTGGTCGAAGCAGCCAAAAGAGCACGAAGCAGCCAAAAGAGCACGAAGCAGCCAAAAGAGCACGAAGCAGCCAAAAGAGCACGAAGCAGCCAAAAGAGCACGAAGCAGGGCCCTATATCTCCCTCGACACCCAAAGCGGTAAAAGAGGACGTAAAGAAAAAGAAGAAGAAGAAGAACTTAGTTCCCTGTGTGAGTGCCAGGGCCCCATTGCTGGGAATCAATACAATAAAAACAGCTCATGAATATTATGGCTCCATGGCAATAATGTCACAGGAGATTTATTCAGTTTAAGTAAACACAGTTTAAAAAGGACAGTGAAAGAGTGCCAAGCCGAAATAGATTATGATAAGAATTTCATGGAAACGTATTTAACAGTTAGTTGTAAATTTACTAGGATAAAATATTTATATATGCAATGAGATATAGTAAGTTAGCGTGTCAGAGTGGAGCACCATGTGTGCATTACAATCAGCTATACTTTTAGCCCCACTGTCCCCAAAACAATCATGTCATAAAAGGTGATAAATTAGTTGTTGGCTGAAATCAGAAATGCTGGGCCAAAAAAGGCGAATATCGCAGCCTAGCTGTAAACCACAAGATAACAATCTAACTTCTGTTTTAAGGCTAAAGATAGAAAAAGAAGTGTTAAGTGTCTGTAAGTGTGTGTGTGTAAAAATTCACTTTAGTGTACTGTTCAAGTGTTTGAATGTGTATATGTGTTATACTGTGTATGAAAATGTAATCAGGTGTGTTGTTGAATTCACTTAGAATGAAGCAACTCTTGTATTTGCTAGGTTCTATAAAAATTATCCATTTTCTTGACTCCTGTTGCTACATTCATTTGTAAGCATAACCCACTTTGCTCCAACTGTCACTTTAACTGCTTCTCTCCTACAGTGCTAATTAATATTTTCATTTATTGTGATTCAAATATTTAGCAGTAACAGTAAAAACTTTCTGAACTAGCATGAGATAATAGAAAATCTTTCTGACACTAAAAGAGTTAGGTATCCTATATGTTTGTATGTGTTAAATAATGGGTTACAAACCCATGGGTCGTGACACCCATTTAAGGTTTTCGGTTTGGTTGTCAGGCATTGGTGAACTATGGACATTTTAAAATAGGAAAACAAATCCTATCACTGTGCCCTGCACAGACAAACTTTTTCATTTCATCATCATCATCAGGTGCCTTGCCGACTGGCGTGGGCTATCAGGCCTCTCCATAATTCACAATCTCCTGCAGCATGTATCAGTTCGTGTGCCAACACACCTCCATGCCATGCAACAAGACTGTCAAGAATCTTCTCTCGTTGTCTTCCTCTATCCCTCCTTCCACAGATGTTTCCAGTGGTCACAACATGCTCTATTTTCCGTCTTCTCATAACATGGAAATGTAGCTAAACAGTTGTTAATTCTTATAGATGCTGTTTGCTGCCACTTTTTCATTTACCTTATTTAAAAGCCTAATTTTTTATGTATGGGGTCATGGGTCACTTTGTCTGTATAAAATGTGGTTGTGACTCCCAAAAATATTTTTCACTGCAGTTCTTTCTTATTTCATTGTAAAGTCTATGGGGTTATCTTTGCTTCCAAAGGCCACTTGTTTCCAAACACATGCCGGTCTCCTGCCAGCAATACACTTTGCCTGCACTTCACGGCAGTGATACCTAACCAGCTGTTGTGTACTCTACCATTAACATCCCATAATTTCACACACCCAGCTACACACAGCTACTCTATTCTGAATTAAACAAATGGAATATAATTATCACACACAACATATGTTTATTTTCCAAAATACAAAAGTAAACAAAAAAAGTTGGGAACCGCTGTGTTGAATGAACTGTGAGTGGAAAAATAATGCCTGCATACCTGCTAGAAGAATCAGCTGCTTCTGTCCTGCTGAGGAATGCCTCATTCTCAGTTCTGGGGGTCCTTGTACTCTCAGCCGCGCTGTGACTGACAGAAATATGGTCAAAACAAACAGGAGCCATGGTTTACTCAACATTTCCAAAAATATACCCAAGGAATTACATTTCAGGTTATTTTTATTTGTTTTCTGGAGGGGGGCACAAACTGTTTTTTTTTTCTCTTCATCTCTATCTACATCCTCTTTTACTGCTTCGGGGGTCGAGGATAACGTAAGGTCCTGCTTCTGGCTGCTTTGACCATAGGCACATCGTGGTGCTGTAGAGTTTCTCTGATGTTTTTCTTCCATCTTGTTTTTGGTCTACCTCTTACTTACTGTGTTTAGTATTCTAAAATGTAATCTTTACTGCATCTGTATTTACCCTTGTTTAGGGCGGTGTTGGAGAGAAGGTCATGAACCTTAGACTTGGGGCATGGCTAGTGCAGTCCACATGAAATGTGAAGATCACGATTTGTTGTTGTTCTTGTTGTTGTTGTTGCCTGACACACAAAATCTTTCATACTTTTATTGAGGATTCAACCCAAACCTCTAGAATAACAGGCCAGCATTTTAGCCAATGAGCTAGCCTATTCTCTCTGAGGTTTAATTTCTTTCCTTCTACTTTTTCTTTTCATTAGTCTGACGTAACTGTGTTGTGTCTGTTTACAGCATAGCTGTGATATTTGCAACTTTCGGCCGTCACATCTGACTTCATTGAGCATTGTTAGCTTCCTAGTAATTTTTTTAGACCTCCATAGATTTCCTAGTGCAATCAAAGCTCATCTTGCCTTTTTGCTTGCAATTTTATATCTTTATCTTCTTCTTCTTCTATATTGTCTCACCAGCTCTTGCTGAAAGTTTTTGTTGTTCGTCCACTTTTAGACTGTTCCAGAACTTGAGTTTTGCATGCATATCCATTTTGTAATCTGGCTTGTGTGCAAGCATACTGTTGATTCCTCACCTCTCATGCAGATGCAATCTGATTTTGAAGGAAATATATCTTTATCTGTTACTGAATCTCTGTCTATATTTAACTCTTTCATCTTGTAACAATCTTTAAAAAACAACTTTTTTCTGCAAATTTTTAAAAAAAAGTATCCTAATAAGAAGAAGAGAGGAGGAAACAGAAGAAATTTGGAACCTTTAGTCAGTTTTTAAAAGTATCTGATTGGGAGGGGGGGGAGGGGGGGGGAGGGAGTTGACCCACTAAATCACTAAACAGAAAGGCAGTGATGAAGTTCTCTACTTTTCTGATGATGTCAGGGAATTTTTTTTTTTTTAGTAATTATTTTTTCCAGTCACTAAATTTATAAATCAGGAAAAGGTTCATTTCTTTTTTAGGGAAAGTGATCACTATATTTAAATAGAGCAAAGAAAAAACGGACTTCCTTCCCTCTCACCATCTGATGTGATTAGGGTCATTTTTCCATAGATGGCAATGTGACGCAATAATGAAATTATATGCCGTTAAGGTAACATCACAACTCAATATTTTTTTCACCCCAAAAATATCTAAACAAAATTTTTGGGGGTAAACATAATCATACCCATCATATCTGCACACCATGAAGTTGCAGCCAGTACTGAAGCTGTCCTACAAGCGTACTGGGCACTGTCCAAAGATATAAAGTCAACCAAAACCCATAAAAGTCAGGTGACAAATCTATCATTTTAGTGACTTGAGGGCTGTGGTGATGCAAGAGCTAGGAAGCTTGCCTGTCTGTTTGCTTGGTGGTCACAGATTTCAATCCATGAATGTTTATAAAAACTGACCAAGACTCCAAATTTCTTCTCCTTCCCTTCCTCAGGTTTCTTAGGATTGAGTACCCAAGAATTATTAAAATGTGTATCTTTTTAAACACAATTTTGAAGAAAAGTCATTTTGAGAAGATAAAAGTAAATAGAGCTTACTGACTCAAATCATTTGTTCAAGTGCAGAAATGTTGAAGATCCCTGGGAGGTCAATGCTTGAGTTAGGGAGTTGTGTACTTTATGTCACGCTCTCAAGAATTTGAACCCTGGTCACCATCTTTCTAAGTATCTATTACCAAAACAGGAGTCCATTAAACAAAGGCAAATGGGAGCTCACTGACTCCAGCTTTTGAGGGGGGTGAGGGGAGGGGTGTGCTGAGTGGTCTCAAGGCATGCGTCCCCCTCTAGTGCTGGAAATCCCGGTTTCGGACTGGATTTTTTCACGTGGACTTCTAATAATTTCCCCTGGTCTCTGGGTAGTAAGATCAGATGCCCTTGTGTATTGTTGCACACTTCAATAATCTCTTGGAAGTTGGAAATCGAAAAGAGTAGCCTAACGACGCTGCCCTGGAGTTAAAAAGTTAAACAGAGCACTTCTAGGTTACTACCCTTGCGTCATGATGTTGATCCGTTGTGTTCCCCATAAACCATAGAAGCCTTTGGTTAATGAGTGCAGGAACTGTGGAGATCCTGTTGGGGAGGGGGGGTTGTCAATGCTAGAGTTACAGTGTTGTGTGCTTTATATGCCACTCTCAGTGGAAGAGCAGATGTACTGCACAGAGAAACTGAACCATACAGGACTGCAAGTTTCTAGAAAGTCTGACTCCACTGCACTGGATATGATCTTTTATGACTCATTCTTTCTCCACAAAACGGCCAGCCACCCGCCGTGAGCATCACAAAGAATGAACTCCATAGATCCAGTAACAATCCTCTGGGATTTCTGTAAATTAGTAGTTGTAGTACATTTTACCCCACTTGGACATCACACATGTGATAAACACCCGATGACACAAAGTGCCACCATGCAGATGAGGATCAATGGTGGAGAGGTCCTGGAAACCGTGTTCAGTCATTAGGCCATATTTATGGCCAGGCTTATTGCGGCCCCTGACAAGAGCCAGGGTGGGGCTTCAAAATAACGAAAAATTGCATCTCACAAAGAGATGACTAGGTTGTGACTGGATTTCTGTAATAATGACACCCATGAACCCAAGACTTTCAGAGTGCAAGGAAAATAGCTCAACTAATTAGCATGCAAGGAAAATTGCTTAACCTATTAGCTGCAAAGGAACCCTCATTCTTCCCCAACTCCCCAAATAGGATAAAATCTGGTGCAGAAAAGCCAGCCTTCTCAGATTTAAACACCTTTCCTTATTCACGAAACATTTTTGGAAGGACAAGAACAGCAAGTACAAAACACACTCCACAAGTGAACTTGTAAGCAAAGGACCCTCTTTCATGCCTTCAGGCGTACCGTGCACATAGTGCTAGGCCTGTATTTTATAGATCAATCGAAACTTTGTGGGTGATGTGTTAAACATCACGCCAGCCGCCTTTACTTCCCAGGACTTTCCTGGTACCCATTTTTGGCTGGGGTGACCTGGAAGCCGGCATCATTATTGAAAAAATCTGGCTCACTGCCAGATTTGAACCCACAATTTTCAGACCCGAGGCAGCTCCTATAAGTGAGCAGCAAAAAACATGCTAAACGAGTACCTGATTTTTCCTGTACAGAGCGGTAACTACTGGAGACCTTCACTGGGCTTAGATCCAGACTGAGACTGCCAGCAGGGCTTCTGGTGATGTCCTGGCCACCATAATCACCACTGAATAGGCCATGGACATCTACTGGGATTTTCTTCTTCAGAAAATTCTCGTCTGCATCAAAGGCAAGAAAAATATATAATGTCACCTTCAGATGAATTTTTACCGCAACAAAGGCAAGCAAATATATAATGTGACAAGGTAATCAGCTAAACTTGGTCTGCCAACTTCTGAAAAAATTGTACTGCACCAAAGGCAAGCAAATATATAATGTGACAAGTTAATCATTTATACTTCATCTGTCATCTTCAGACACATTTTTACTGCACCAAAGGCAAGCAAATATATAATGTGACAAGTTAATCAGCTATACTCGGTCTGCCATCTTCTGAAAATGTTTTACCACACTAAAGGCAAGCAAATATATAATGTAACAATGAAATGAACTATGTTTGATTTGTGTGTCTTGTCTTCAGAAAATTCTAGGGGGAAAGCCTGAAATAGCTGGCAGATGGAAGATTAAGATACCCATCTGTCAGAGCCATTATAATGTGAAAATGGCATGAACCATACTTCATTTGTATGTCTTGTCTTCAGAACGGTCAGTAAACTAGTGAAAAATTATTTGGAAGCTGTGATGTGGTTTTATAGACAGATGAAGAGAATACCCTGGAAAGACAAATAAAAAGAGCCATGAAAATGTCTTGAAAAAAAACTGACTAATGAAGAGAACTGATTGCCCACATCAGAAAGACACAGTTTACATTCATTTCAGCCCATCCAGCATCATCTCTCTTAGTCTGCCTCTATTCCTTTTACCACTGATCTTTTCAGTTGTCACGAAGTTCTCCAATGTCTCTCTTCTCATTATGTGCTAAAGAACAGTGTTTATCTTTTTCTTAATGTTGTATATAGAGATCTACTTTCATTAGCTTGGTTCAAGCAATCGTTGTTAGATACTCTGGCCATCCAAGGTATTTGTAACATTCGTCTCAGAAACCACAGCACTAGCCATGCAGCCTTAAATCCACAGGCTCGAAGCCACCTCTGCTGAAACCACTAAAGTAATAATACATACAAGCGGTAACAGTAGTTTTGTTTTTAAGCTGACTAAAGAAGTGTCAACATCTTTGCAGAATGTCGCTCTCATCACGCCTGAAATAAACTCAGTCTCTCGCCAGCATTCCCAGCTTGTATGTTTTCATATACAAGGAGTCACTTATATCCTGTGCCCATCTTCGTGTTGGTCGGCCCCAACGCGCTTCTTCCTGGTATCATGCCTTCTGTTATTATTTTTTTTTCCATCTGCCATGGTGCTTGATATGATCAAAATATTTCAGCTTCCGGGACAAGATGCTGTTTATTAGCCAGTCTTCCCTGATGTTCAGATCTTTTAAAATTTCAGTATTTCTTTCCTTCTTTGTCCATGGTATTTTGAGAATCTTTCTATAGAATTTCAGCTCAAAAGCCCCTATTTTCTTCCTTTAGGACTGGTAGATGGTCCAGAACTCACATCCATATGTTGCTACAGGAAAGCTGCATGCTCTCAAAATTTTATTTTTGATTTCCTTGCTAGTTCTTAATCATACAATTTTGATGCTGTTTAATCTAAATAAGTGTACAACTCCATATTTTGACAAGGTGTTTCACCAACTGACTTCAAGTATAAGTGCAGGAAGCTAAGAATGAATGCTAACTGTGGAGAAAGAAAAATAACTAACCATTTTCTGAATCCTCGGTTCCAGCAATAGATGGCACCATGGTGGCCTCTAGGCCAGGAGGTGTTTCTGATCTAGTGACGGCCACCCTGTAAAGTGTCAGGACAATTTTCAGCTGTACAAACTGGCAGTCTTCTGGCACATCATGCAGAGGCGACGACATGGGGATCACATATGTGTCTTCATCACGAAAAAATGGCTTGCAAGATGAATCCTGAAAGAAAGCATTTCTAGGGTCAATTCAAGCATATAGATAGAATATAGTAAAGTAAATAAAAGAGCTTTTTACACCATGGTACATCAAGCATACAATTCTAGACATATTTCAGCCCTCACTGGGTGATATGGTCAACATAACGCAGGCCGCCTTTACTTTCCAGGACATTACCTGGTACCCATTGTAAGCTGGGTCAACCTGAATGCCAAGGTGAAGTTTAATGAAAGCACATCTTTCATATGCTTATTCCTCTTCAATGCTCACCCTGAAAAGGGTAGTTGGTGCACTGTGTTGTGGTCTTTTACCTACAGACTGTGTCATGTGCCTATGTTGGCTTAACATATCTGACTTCATCAAACCTTTAACTGGATGCTTTTACGTGGTTGTTAAGGGCTGGTGGGTCTGTTTCCCACGATCCCCAACAGGGTCCTGGAACCCACACCTGGAACCAGGAGTTAAGTGAGGCATATCACGTAAAGAGTTATCTATTAATATGTCAGACACACGTGGCCCTGCTCCTCTGATCCATCAACTTCTGCAACATGTTTTGTTCCAAAATATCATCCCTGGCTTTAACTGGTAAGAGCTAAGATTCTCCTGTCTCCCTACAGCACAATGGAACAGTATTGTCTGCAGTGCCACCACTGCTGTCTTTGGAAATATTACGTGGTAAGCACCCAATCTCTTCCACTGTGCAACTCTCGTACCACTGCCTGAAAGCCGCAAGAATGGTCTGATTAATATTACAACTGCTTTGGTGCCAACTTGTATTAAAAACTCTCTCTCTCTCTCTCTCTATCTCTCTCTCTCTCTCTCTCTCTCTGCCCTTTAGGGCTATTATTCAAGTGTTGTAAATCTAAGCATTTATTATTTGAAGACTTATCCTAGGAAAAGGAAACGTAACCTAAAAAACTCAATCTTATGGCAGGACAGATCTAGCTATTAATCGGGGTTGGCAGATGGTCTAAGAGGGAAGCTCTGACAGACAGACAGGGCGCTGCTTTTCTGATCAAACAGTTTCTGCAGCATGCTTTGTTCAAAATATTTTGGTGTTACCTTTTCTTTGGAACAAAGAAGGCAGGCTGAGGGAAGGATCATGATGAATGAGCAACACATGGTCTCTACAATACTGCTCAGGCTATGTGCTATGGAGAGGAGGAACTTTCCCACACCTCTCTGTGGCACAACATAACACTATCATCTGGAAAGTTAGAAATGTGTCAACCATTATTTAAAATGAAAACTACTTCCATGGAAGGAGTTAAATTAGCAGCTGCCTGGTGCTAGAATATCACTGAATGTGTTAGCTCCTCTTCTTTATGCTTTTCATCTTAATACAGGAGTCTGGCTGATGCATGATAAGGCAGACATGGTTAGTGCCTTGTGGGAGAGTGTGTACAGTTCGGAAGAGCAGATGAATCACCACAGTCTGGTGAGATTGATACAGCAGGGAGTGACGAGGGGTTCTGGCCAATGATCAAGGCTCAGGAGAAAGGTGAGACGGACGTTTAATCAGAATGCTACTGGTACCATTAGTATTGGAACTCTATGCTGGCTGCTGAAGATGGGAATGGAGTGATTTTGGGTTGCCCCAAGTGCTGTGATGTCGGTTCTTGAATCAACACAACTCAACTCTAAAGGAGCCTGGACCTCACCTCCCAACCAACTCAGGCCCAGTCTTGGCAGGTCTGCTCTTGACCTGTCGGGTTAGCTGCCAAACTTCCCCTCCTGCATCTGTCCTTCAAAGGGCAGCTGGCACATTGTGTTGTGGTTTACAGTGAGGCTGCCACATGTGCACCCTTTGACCCAGCACATCAGGTTTCAGTGGACCTTTAATTAGTCACCTTTTACATTATGCTTGGAGAAAAAAAAAAAAGGGGGGGGGGGGGGGGGTGGGGTTGATAACAAGTCTATTCTGTTTACCTCTATGATCAGGCCCCAGAACCAATAAAAATCTCATGTTAGTCCAATGGTTAGATGCTTCCCTCCCATGGGGGTTCCAAGGCTCCAATATATGGAAAAAATAAAGAACAGACCACTACCTCCCTTACAAGCATCAGGAGATGTAAGAGTTGACTTATTAGGGGTTTTCTTCTGAGTCAGAGTGCATCTGCCTGAGAGGGAAGGAACCAACAGTTTGCATACAAATAAGCCAGATATGTAAAACAAATGTGCATGCAGAACTCAGAGATTCTGGAACAAGACAGTCCATAGGTGGATGAACAACCAGAACTTTCCGCCACAGTTTACAGCCGTTGGACACAAAGAAGATAAAAGGGATAAGTCTTGGGCTGAAATCCACATTGGGAAGATCTGTATACTTTAGGTGACCTAGGAATCTCCAGTCCACTCACTTGAAAACAAAATGGGTATTTGGAACGGTCCTAAAAAGTAAAGGTGGTTGAGAAGAGAAGGTGAGTGATTCTGACTTAATCACATTAGATTTCTGACAGGTCTATAAAAATATGTGTGTAGCATAATATGCCAGCTTTGCAAATTGCATGAAAATCGTTTATGAAAACAAACCTATCATATTCTCCCTCTGAGTTCGGGGTTTCAATTGTGGGGGAAACAAGATTAGACCCACTACCTCCAAATTAGGCAAGTTGTAGGAGTCGACTAACTGGGCACTTACTTTGAACTTACAGTGCATGCCTGAGAGCAAATAAACAAACAGTCTGCACACACATAAAACAGATTAATAAAACTGATGTGCATGCAACACTCAGGTTCTGATACAGGACTGGGGTCCACGGGTGGACGAACGACCAGAACTTTCCGCAGCAGTTTGCAGCCAGTGAACAAGAAGTATGAAGAAGAAGAAGAAGAAGAAGAAGAAGAAGAAGAAAAAGAAGAAGAAGAAGAAAGAAAATGAAGAAAAAGAAGAAGAAGAAGAAGAAAAAGAAGAAGAAGAAGAAGAAGAAGAAAAAGACGAAGAAGAAGAAAAAAAAGAAAAAGAAGAAGACAAAGAAGAAGAAGAAGAAGAAGAAGAAGAAGAAGAAGAAGAAGAAGAAGAAGAAGAAGAAGAAGAAGAAGAAGAAGAAGAAGAAGTAGATGATGATGATGAAGAAGAAGAAGAAGAAGAAGAAGAAGAAGAAGAAGAAGAAGAAGAAGAAGAAGAAGAAGAAGAAGAAGAAGAAGAAGAAGAAGAAGAAGAAACCTATCACAGAAGAAAAAAAAAACGTATATTCTGGGATAGTGTAACTAGCAGACTACTCACATCACTGGATGAAGTCATGTTTGAATTCCCCACAAATGTTGCAAGTATGTGACACATCAAACCGCTGGGCGTCTCATCGCTTTCATTCTTCTCTACAATTATGAGAGGGGAACTAGTAGTAGTCCTGGGTGGCAGCAAAACATCTGAGACTAGATTCGAACAGGGCTGTATCACAGCTTGGCTAACCAGACGGGACACTTGTTTTCTCCACACCGAGGCATCCACTGCTGGTTCCCTCCTGACGACGACATCATATTTTAGCGTCTCCCCTAAATAAACTGAAGTAAAACATTCACGTATCACATGTTTAATGCCTCCGCTTGTTGTATGACTGCTAAGGCCTTCTAAAGATAAACAGCCCATTTCATCTTCGACACTGCTAGCTATCCCACCCCCATTGTTTACGCTCGCCATTTTGTACGTTAAGCGCATATCCACGACATTTAACGCAAAGTCCGCAAAATCAATACCAATGGTTTTGCCTAAGCAATGAAGATTGTATGCATCTTCTGCGACCTGGTCGAGCTCATTGGCTCGCCGGTAGACGACTTCATCGCCGGTCAGGGCAGTTTTTGAACCACAATTCGACAAATCGGATAGAAGTGCCTGACTGGCACTAGCCTGCTCTTGTTTCAGGTAGACATCTATAAAACCGCTATGGTCACACGCGAAATATTTTCACAATTTCGGATCTATCCAAACACTGCAGCAGTCCTTTTCAGGGCTGTTGGTGGCGTGCAATGCTAAGGCATTTTATATGGCGCAGATAGCCTAGTCACAGTTATAACCTACAGCTCCCCCTTTGGGGATGCTGGTTACACTTGACCGTGTTTTTGTTGTTGTTTATTGAGCAAAGCACATACCTCCGATTTACATGGCAGCGGGAACCTGCTGTTTCAAAGACAAAGATAAAAGCGCTGCATTTATTTGATTTCCCTGTTTATTTTTTATAACTGATATTACCTATAATTTTAGGATCCTTGCTGGTGCTACAGAGCCTGTGCACTGTGCTGAGCTTCTTCGAACTCAGACTTGAGTTAGAAGAAGAACGGTGCACTTATGGGTTACTACCCTTGTGCCATGATGGTGATCCATTGTTTAAACCTAAACCTATAATTAATACTTCACTTTGTCGCGTATAGTTCTTCATTCGCTCACCAGTAATGTAGCCATGGGGTCATGTAGCAGCTACTCAGGACTTTTCATCTGGCAGCCAGCGGGCTATGCATCCTTGTATTATTGATTCTTTTGTGCTACTGCCAGGGTCTCTGGCCAGCGACGACCCCAATTTTCTATATTTTGGTCCAGTGGACCACATATTGAAAAACAATGTTCTAGACCTAAAGCTATTTGAACTGTGACTTTAAAAACTTAACCGGAAAAGGGGGGGGGGGAGGGGTCGCAAACATACAAAATAAAAAGATGTTTTGGCCGGGGCCTTTCACGACATAAACTACACCAACAGAAACAAAGAGCAAAGTTATCTGGCTACTGGTCCTTATCTTCTTCTTCTGCGTTCGACATCAGTCATGAGTCCCGTCTGGGTCATAGATAGGATTGTGCGTTTAAGGTCGCCACCGGTCCCCCATAGCTTCTCTTTCAATGTGGCTCCCTTGGGCCAGATCCACAGTCTTTGCTAGGAGAGGTAAGGGCAGTGCTGTAGTATGTGCCCAGGGGTCTGTCTTTCTGCTCCACAATCACAGGCAGCAGATTCTTTTATGCCTATCCTGTACAGGTGTGCTCGAAGACTAAAGTGTCCAGTCCGAAGTCTAAAAATTGTTGTTTGTACTTTCTTGTTGAGTTTGTTTATACTGTCACTCTCTGGTCTGTAATCTCCATTCTGCCTTCTCCGCTCCCGCTTGAAAGAGTGCTTTATCGCTGTTTTGGTTTCCTTGTAGCTGTGTGGTGGATGAGGTTGTGGAAGATTACTCCCAGCTTTTGCCAACTCATCTGCTCTCTCATTTCCTTGAATACCACAGTGGGCTGGTATTAACCGCAAGACCAGTTCTGCTTCCTTGGAGAGTAAGCAAATGTTGGTCCTTAGATCAGCAATTAGTTTGTCTTGTTTTTTGCTTGATAGTGCTTGAAGAACAGACAATGAGTCACTAAGTATAACAATTTGTGCCCTCTGTGTTCTTGATTGATGAGATGTTGGACTGCAGAAAGGAGGGCAGTTGCCTCAGCTCTGAAGTTAGTGCAGATGTCACCTGCTGGTAGAGAGATAGTTTCTGCTCTCCTGCTAGGGGGTTTAATGTATATTTCACAACCTCCTTTCTGACTGCATCTGTAGCAGAGCCGTCGGTGAAAACCTGAGTCCAAGTGGTGTTTGGATACTTCTCATCAAGCATAGCAAGAGCCAGGGTTCTCTCTTGTGTCTCCGTCTAGGCATCTTTTGAAATGATCCCTGGTACTTTTAGGACTACATTTGCCTTATCTGGCTTGCTTGTCCATGGTTCTGGCCTAAGTTTTTCGCACAGAGCTACATCTCTTTCAAGCAGATCTCGGTGCTGTCTGTACAGTTCTCTAGTAAGGTGGTTGGGGCTCTGACGCTTCAGTCTGTTTTTTGTTCTCTCTTGAAATTTAAAATGCAGTGGATGACTTTCAAGTCTTTTTAATTTCTCATACTGTAAAAGAGTTTTGTATTGTGTTCTGAGTTAGAGTGGTTCAGTATCTGCTATCCTCTCTATCTCTCTGATAGGGGTGGTTTTCATGGCTCCGAGAACAATCCTTAATCCCATATTCTGAACCTTGTCCAGTTTTCCCATTGTTGTCTTGGCTGCTGCAGTCCATGCAGTGGACTGACTGCTCCAGTATATACTTGTTTTAGGATTCTGGAGTTGGCGCCCCATGTGGTACCCGCTAATTTTTTCATCACTGCAAGCTCCTTGAATGCTTTTCCCTGTACTGCTTCTACGTGTGACTTCCAAGTTAGTCGCGAATCAAGTGTAACGCCAAGAAAGGTAGGAGTGTCAGTCTGTGGAATGAGCTGTTTTTTAAATCCAAATTGTGATTTTTTTTGGGGGGGGGGGGGAAAAAAGGGGGGGGGGGGGAGAAGAAAAGTGATGCTGTGCTTTTTGAATTATTTAGCTTTAACCCCCCCCCCCCCCCCCCCCCGCCCCCTTGTTTTCGGTCCAGGTTTCTACATTTTCCAGTTTCCTGTAACAGATATGAGGCTGTGGTAGTGTATTCGGAGGCTGTCCAAACTGCAAAGTCATCAGCTTGTAGGGTATTATAAACGTGCTGGTGGCAGGTTGCTGTGATATCATTTATGTAAACCAGGAACAGAGTTGGTGCTATCGCACTGCCCTGGGGAACTCCTTCTCTTAGTTTTGCCAGTTTGCCGATGTGTCCATCAATTCTGAATCTGGATCTGCGTTGGAAAAGAAAGTTTTTGATCCACTTGTACATGTTGTGCACAACTCCTGCCTGTAGAAGTTTTAGTTGTAGGCCTTCTTTACAAACTGTATCGAAAGCACGAGAGAGGTAAAAGAAGACAGCAAGAACTTTTTTTTTCCTGGAAGGCATTCTCTATTTTCTGTGCCAGATATGTCAACTGGTCCTCTGTGTTTCTGGGCTGTCTGTACCCTGTCTGTGTGGTGGTGATTACAGAGTTTGTCTCCAAGAACCATATTAGTCTTTTATTTACTAATTTCTCCATCAATTTTCCTACACAACTAAGAAGGCTGATGGGTCTGTAGATTTTTGAGTCTCTTCAATCTCCATCCTTTTTAAGGACAGGCTGGATGAGAGCTTCCTTCCAGGCTGACGGTACCACCCCTTTTTGCCAGCTCTGGTTGTAAATGCAGAGAATAAACTTCTTGGCAGCAGGTCCAAGATGAGAAAGAAATTCGTTTGTAATGCCGTCAGCCCCTGGGGCATTCTTCATTTTCAACTCTCCAATTCCAACTTCCAGCTCTTGCATGGTAAACTTTTCTGACATGCAGGCCTCGGTTGTTTTTGTGCTAGAGTCTGCTAGAAGAGTCTTGGTCTGGTTTCGTACTTCTTTTATTCTTTGCATGGGAATATGAACCTCAGTTTCCTTCTGGTGTGTTTCAGCTAGCACATCTGCTGCTGCCTTGCCAGTAACAGCTCCATCGTCTGTTAGGAGTACAACTCTGGCTTTTTCTGTCTTGTCTCAATTCAGGCTTTTTGTGAGATTCCACAGACGTGAAGTGTCCTTCTCGAGGTTAAATGACTCCGTCTTTTTGTGCCAGCTTTCCCTCATCTTATTAGTTCTCTCTTTGATGAAAGCTGCTTTTGCTCTGTTATGAAGTATTACATTTTTATCTGTCGGATCCTTCTCCATATTTTCCCTCCTGTTACTAAGTTTGGAATGCAGAGTGTCCAGTTCAGGCGACCAGTGAGGTTTAAAGTTTTTCCTGCTGCCTCGTGGTATGTTACCCTTGGCTGCATTTAGAATAGTTGTGTTGAAGATCTTCAGTTTGGCATTTATTTCCAGTCTTCTGAAGAAGACTCTCTTCAACATGTCGTTCAACTGGGGAGTGAAAAAGCTCCAGTTAGCCTTCTTGTAGTTCTATCTGGGAGGGTTCCTTTTCTTAGTAACCTCTCTACTTTTGTTTATAGACAAGATAACGGGCCTGTGACCACTGCCTCCCAGCTGTTGACATACATCCCGGCTGGTAACTTTCTCCATATCTTCAGTTGCTATAGCGAAGTCCGGGGTGCTAGTTTTCCTCCAGGCTCGAGAGTAGAATGTGTCTGGGTCGTCACGATGATTTATCAGAACTAGAGTGTTGCTGATTATCCAGTTTTCTACCTCTTCTCCATTCGCATTGAGGTCTGTGTAGCCCCAGCTAGGTGAGTGGCTATTTAGATCTCCGACAGCAATCCAGTTTTCTGTGTTTAGTTGGATGGGTCCCAGATTAATATCTCTGTTTAGTGGTGAGTATATGTTGCATACTGTCACGTCTCCCCTTGCACCCTTGATAGTGACTGTGATAAACTCAGTATCCCCACACTGAGATCTCTGGGTTTCCCAAGCTGTGATCGTGTTCTTGACAGCAGTCAAGACTCCTCCTTTTAGACGATTTAACCTGTCGTGTCGGAAGATTTGGTATCCCCTGATAGAGAATCTGTGTGCACTTGTGAGGTGAGTCTCTTGGATGCAGCACATATCAATATCGTGCTGCTTCAAGAAATTTTGTAGTTCAGTTTTCTTCAGCCTCACTCCCTCAGCATTCCAGTGCATAATTGTCAGTTTGTGTCCAGTTGCATTACTTTGTTCTTCCCTGGTCACTCCAGAGGATTCAGAGGTTGTGGCTCTAGTAGCTTGGGGTGGGCCCCTTCGCGGCAGGGGGCCCAGCGCCACCCCCACACGTCCACGTCCCATAGGAATGACACCATAACGTAATAATGTTGTTTGCATGTCCGATTTTTAGTTCCGTGCGAAGTAG